TGTATGTATGTATGTATGTATATATGTATTTGATCTGGTAAACACCACCAGTCCCCTCCCCCAGGGTATAGGTAGACAATGAGCACCGCAAGAATTCATATAAAAGTAAAATTTGATTTTACGATCGTATCGCTAGGACGTTGAATGTAACCAAGAGGGATGACTAAGAGATTGCTATGAGATCCTAAAGGACGTATAACAAGTTCCGGTCAGTGAAAAAACAACAACAACCACTTCCTGTATCGTTTTTTTAATTTTGTATCCTAGAACGAGGGCAGTGCCAACTTTTTGCGACTTCCTTTTACTTTACTTTACTTTGACCTGACACGTATAATCTTACGCAGTGCGATCGCACGAACACCACACAATCTGTTCTCCTAAGATGATAGTCTACCTACCTGGAACAAAAGAATAAGACAATACAGAAACTTAAATCCACGTAAATATAGCATCAACATCTCTTTTGTTTACAACTTGGGTCTCGACCGCGACCAGCGATAAATCCACGCAAATTGTTTGTTTTGACAAGTCCAATTTTGTTCAGGGCAGTAAATTCGTTCTGATATCCAAAGGACGTCAGACAGAGTGAGGGCTGTGGAGGGGCACATTTGTTTATGAATTGTACTTCCGGCGGGATATCGTATTATATTCACAAACAGCTAATGATACCGTATACCCAAGGCAAAGACCGGTTTCTTCTGGACTCCTTTCCTCTTGCCACAAATATCACTACTGATGGAATGATATCGCTATTAATCTTAGGGAATCTAACTACTGAGGTATAATATCTTCAAATAAACTAGAGACAGGGCTTACTACGTTGAAAGGCACCATTTTCGACAGCGAGGTGGGACCACGGTGGGTTGACGGGCAGGGGCAGGGCAGAGGCGATGAATCATAAAATAAATCAGCACTTCATTCTATAAATCCAGGGGAAGCCCTAGAGTAAGGTTGCAAATTCACAACTAACGACCGTGTCTTTAAATCTTTCACCTTTTTCTTTCGACACGAGGCGTTCTCTAAGCCAAGTACAAAGCGAAATGGTAAATATCGTTTGTGTCTCAACACCCTAAATACCACAGTTCTGCGAGAAGCTCATCTAAGTTTGCCGTCCTTAAACCTGACCACTTTTTCCAGGAAGATTTTTATTATGGATAAACAGTTTAGGTCTGGGGGGAAGAAAAGCTATGTATATATGCTTCTGATGGTACTTAAAACACTTTTAATCTCGAGGTGAACTCACGCTTAAAGGAAAACGCACTCGTAATTCGCTTTCATTTCCCATTCAATTGACCCTTTCACACACAAGATCTCATGAATAGTTCTTCCTACCGTCTGCCATACAGTTCTTATGATGTTAGTGCGGAGAATTTGAAACTGGTTCAACTAAAAATCCCCTGATTGATATTTAACTTTATTCTTATAACTTGTTTTCTTAATATTGTTTCAATATTGTAAGGAGAAATTCCGTCTTGGTCACTCTTGGGAGTGAGAAGGTTAACGGAGGAACACATTTGCAAGATTCTCTCTATTCCAATTAAGAATTACATCACCCAGTCTATTCATGAACTTGAACGTCATTTTAATCCTACCGATGCTCATCCGGTGCTCCACCCTGGGGTACTAAGGGCGTATATCGTGCGCAACTACGTCAAATCCAGCCGGGTCGGGTTACGGGATGTTGTCATAACAGAGCAGAATTAACATCAATAGCAGAAAGTTGAGACCATAAAATCTGCCAAAAATTGGCCTTACGGTCAAATGGAGGTAAAATTGATATGTTGACTTTTGATATGTTAGAGAGTCGCTGACAGCTGCGATCAAAAGGGAAGTGTTCTGCTACTGTCACTAGCAAGTTATGAGCGCCAACTACGAGCGTTGATATCAGTCTTTGCATGCGCTCCACACAACACAGTATTTGCTCCGATCGTCAGTGTCCTATATTGGCGTCTTGTAAACCGCTGCACGAGACACAACACTTAACTGTTCCTTCCTTGGCAGCCGGTCAAAAGTTTTCTGCCGAAGATGTCGCTGCATAGACATTACGACATTTTGACCATCGTCATTTTGATGTCGATGGTTTTCGCCTCGTCACAATCGAAGATACCCCTCAACAACACCACAAATACGTCAGGTAAGAGCCAGACGCTTCTAAGCCGAGTTTTAAAGTTTGAGGCCAGCTAAACCAGATTACAACAACATTAATTTGTTTTTAATTACTCCGTACACAAGCTGTGTAGAATCTCTCCCTACGTAACTCCTTTGGTTTGATTCTTAAAAACCATCGATTGACATCTCCGAATTATAGCTATTTTATCAGAAGAAATCGAATTTTGATGCATTATCACTGAAATTCATCGAAATAGAGCAGCCTGAAAGCCTCTAATCACCGTGTTATTCTAAGAACTTGTTATTTTTTTGACAGTTGTATGACTAATTTTTGTCAAAAATAAGTCTTTTTAGAGTGAAACATTTCTGATCTGCCTTCGTCAGCGGCTATTTTATGAGCATTGTTTTATAACTTGCATGTTTCAAGTCTTGATGTATCAGCGATCGCCAAAACACAGTTCAGACACGTTAATACTGGCATCAATGACGTACCTTCACTCATATTGATGCATTCCGGACGTAATTCAAGTCACGCATCCACCAGTTTTTCTGCAATTTTTTTTCCAGAAAGCGACTAGCATTACCAGGCCAATTGCTCATTCGGTGTTTATTTCCCATGGAAGCTCTCCATGACTGAAAAATACTTTAGCTGAGGCTCATTAGTTTTTTTGTGATATGTCCAAGAATCATTCCTGATCTAATGGTTTACCGTCTTTGGAATGAAAACTATTTTGGTCGTTAATGAGCGGGATAAGGCAAGCTTATTCTTGGCTCCTGATCTTCCATATTTGCTCTCCATGAATCCTGATTTTGCTCAATAAAAGCTCTGTGAATCGTGATAGAAATTCATTCTAAATCGAAAACAAATAAGTATCGTCTCTCGTGACTCGTGAAACATTGAAACTATGATTCGTGATATCTCTCGCAGCAGGGGTATTCCTCGACCCCTTTGGAAGGGACTCAGCGATGAAAAACGCATTGTTGCAGCCGCGGTACATATCGCATCAAAGTAGAGAAGAACGAAGATTTCTTCGTGGACGTATAGTTTTGAACGTTTTGAAAGTTTTTGATCATAGCGTGTCAAACAATTTTAATCAATTATTTTCCATCGTGTTTTTGTCCATCAACTGGTACTTATACATACATGTACTAGTGGTTCAACTGATCTTTCAAAGCCTTCATTATAATATCCCTTAGTATACTTGTCAGGCCGTAAAGATTTAATCCTTAAACTCCCAGAGCAGATTAACATGTAACTTTCCCTCCATATCCAACACATTATGAAGCAAATAGGTGATGAAAATGCAAAAAAATATCAGCTGAAGGTTTTATATCTTGAAATAGCCTCAATTTCTCCTAAATAATTTAATAGGAAACGTATTGCAGCCAGAAGAGAGAATTGCTGATCAGATCCCAGAAGTTAGAGGGGTTAAATGGCAGAGATTTTTAGATCCACACCTTTGGTGTGTTGACCGCAAACGTTAAACCGCGGCTAGGAGTTTGCGGAGAGATTGAGTTTCAAGATTTTAGGGAAAAAAAACATTAACAAGAAAACACCAAGAGAGCCTTGTTTTCCTGGTCTGATTTTATTGCTTCCTTCGCAGAAAAAAAACCATTAACAAGAAACACAACGCCAGTGCATCTTCCGCAACCAAACACTACAACAACGGATAGAACAATCTTACCAACTTCCACCTCAACTATACAGTTTAATCAAACAACGACCGAATCAAAAAATACTTCCCCCACAACAACAGCCCAAAGTAGGGAGCTCTTTCAAACAACACAAACCACTGAAGGCGCCAAGAGCAGTAGCACTTCTAGTACCATGGAATCAAACGCGCCGGAAAAGACACGTGACAGCTCATCAAGTACAATGCTGGCTGTGTCGCTTTCGTTGGGATTTTGTTTGTTAGCCGTAGGAGTCGCTGCAGCTGTATTTTTTGTCCGCTGGAAAAGGTGAGACATTGAGCCCGCTGTAAAATCTGTCTGGCTCCGCCAGCTCTTAGGTATTATAATTGCGTGTCAGTTATCCAAAAAAGAGTACATTAAGGATTTTTGTTGTCGTTATTTGATCAATTGTCTAGAATTTATAAACGATGTAGAAATTTTCCTACAACTATTCATGTTACTAAGCTAATCAGATCTGTTCAATTACTTTTGGTAAACTACGTTCAAATTTGAAGAGAATCCAGAAAAATAGATGCTGATAACTTTTACTTTGAGACGTTTCAACATTTTATTTTTTGATACTTATGTTTTATATGTTATTCTGATATAATTATATTTCAATCGTGTTTTCTTTCCCTTTGATAATTACTCTAAAATGTAGAAGACCAGGAAACAACATGAATCATGGGTATCTTTGATCTTATTCTAGAATAAAAAAGATGAAACAAGGATTTCAAGAAGAAATGGCAGTCATTTGTCTTCAGTAAGTTATATTTCCAGTAAACCGTTGAAACACAATAAAACATTTAGTATAGAGAAGATGAAATGTGAATACGCTTTGCAGGAGTGTTCATTACACTTTGCTGGAGAGTGTTCATGCGTAGAAAACCTTCTCAAGCTAAAGGAATTTCAGAATTTTACCCATGTAGCCGTAGGTGAACTCATTATATTCGTAGATTTGCCTGGTGCTCGATATTTTGTGGAAAAGATTATAGGAACTTGAAAGCAAGAGATACCTTGATGGTGATGTTGGGATACCATGACATTGTTATTCGTATCACAACCAACTCTTTCCCAATGATTTTCAATTAACAAATGGTGAACACCACAGCGTACACTATTTAACAATTGGTTCATGCTTTAGCGTGCACTATCGAGTTATGGAGCACGTGGAAAGTTTGGAGAGCACGAAAGAAGCGTAAGAGTTGCCCGAGGCAATTACCCAAGTTGTCATACCTTCCCGATAAAGATGTGGTACCATGGGTACTGAACAGAAACAAGATTAAAACTTGATATAAAAGTTACAGAGAACCCACTGACGTTATTAAAGAGTTCTATGAAAAAAGTTGCCGTTGAAGACTGTCAAGTAACCACAAAATAATGAGAGAGATTGAAGAAAAAAGGGCGTGTTCAAGGTACGGCCCCCTAAAGGGCTACATGATCGTTGAACAAGTTTCATGATTATATATTCAATGCAGACGATGAAAGCTAGAAGTTGTTTACACAAGTAGTTACGTTGAAAGAAAGAGGTTTTAAACGAGCTGTATTAAAACAGGTGATCAACCATCTTCTCTGTTTTAGCTGAATGGTCTACGATATACTATAATTTTTGTCAAATTTTGTTGCATTTCACCCTCGGACAGTGAAGCGAATCGTGACGGCGCTGATGCCGAGTCTCCTTTTCGGTTGTTTGTCTCTTTTTCTGCCTCACTTAAGAACTCTAACCCAAGGGAAAAGGTCGGAAATTTGTCTTCGTTTTGGGACTGGTGGGCCGAGTCTCTGTTTGTATCCATTATTGCCGCGAAATATATTATTTTTCCCCACGCTAACAATGGCCGCTGGCGCGAAAAAAACATTTTCTGGCGAAGCGATTTGCTCACGCTATCAGCGTCCACTATCGGGATTTTGAGCCCGCTTACGTATAATGAATTTGATTGCGCGGCTCTGCTAGCTATGTTGTAATGAGTTATGGATGCACGCGGGAGGTTGCTAAGCATGAAAGAGGCGTAAGAGTCGCACGAGGCGATAGCCGAGTGCGACTTCTTGAGTGCTTAGTAAACCTCCCAAGTGCATCCATAACTCATTTAGTGTACACTGTGGCGTTTACCATTTGTTTTTTGACATAACATTGATACATTGTAGCAAATTAAAGAGTTTTGTTTTATTTAACAAATATTACGTGACCAGAAAAAACAAGCGCGCGCGGAAAACTAGTCTTTGCAGTTGCTCACGTCAGCAGCGTACACCCATGAGCAAATGGTGGACGCTGAATTGACCAATCAGAGCGCGCGCTTTACTTTGGTTATGTTATAATATGTTTTTGAAACTCACTCGCATTTGAAGAACTAACTGCATAAAGTAGTTTTCGATTCTCCACCAAGCTCCTTAAATCTTGACTTTCCTTCCCTATGATATCGTGAGGTTGTCAAATATCACCACTTTTCAAGAAAAGAATGAACGATTGATTATTGAAATCGTCTTTCATATTCAAGTTTCAACTTGGATAAAGTTGAGGAGGGCCAAAAATAAAAGTGTAAACTTCTACAGTTTCTTCAGGGCCTCTGTGGCCGATTCAGTCTTGAGATCTTGTGCCACTGTATGTATATAACATGATTGTACTTCTACTGGCAAGTTGATGTATAACTAAGTAAATGGATAAATAAGTGGACAGATAAACAAAACATGGCTTTATAAGTCTACAGCCTTGCTGATTTATGGCTCATAACAGTTATTTTCATTCTTTCTTATTTCTAGTGACGAGCTGGCCTCAGAGGCCCTGTACTGTTCTTGGAAACCTTTTATGGACGGAAATGAAAACAACAAAATAAAACTTGTCATTGAAGCTTCTACCAGTGACGCGAATACCTCACGAGCGAACACTTAACAACTTGGATACATCAATTCGCATGTCTCTGGGCAAAGGAAACATGGACAAAAGCTATAAGTTCTAGATAGAATTGTACATAGCCTTTCTTCCTTACATCAACGTACATGTCACAAAAGAACAGCGGGATTTTCGTGCAAAGTTTTAGGATAAATTAATTGAAGTTAGTGTTGCAGTTTGCATGAACCTGTAATGATTTTGCACTCTCACGACTAAGCGAAGTAACATTTTGTTTCAGTTTTTGATATACTTTATATTCCTCACTTCTTCTTTCCTCCTAGAGTAAGTGAGAAACTAAGACAGCTAAACGGACGACACAATAAGTGAAGATGTAATCTAAGGACTGATTGGCATGCCTCGGGTATCTGAGACAACCCTCCCTCTGAGTTAAACTGGTCGACTAGCGAGCTAACTTCTCACTCATTTCATTGAAAAGTCAAACCTACAGATTAATAGGAGGATCACCAACTCATTTGAAGAAGGGGGGGGGGCGCGGGGGAGATAACTCGGTTGGGCCAGTTGTCTCACCTCGGCAGGTAGGAACACTCTGCCATAGGGGACAACGTTTTTCCCATAGAAGTACTTTGGCTCACTTACCCAAGACAAGATATAGTCCCTTAAACAGTTTGATGTAAAATCTATTTTTTTTCATGAAAAATGTAATTTTTGTTACAACGGTTCATCAGTCTGAGATATGACTTGTGTTCGATCATGCAGTCAACTCGTCTGGACGTCTACACCAAACGCCATTATTGCATACACCTGACCTTAACAGTTTCAACTGCGACTCCTGAACGTTTCGTATCGTCTAATAGTATGGTTTGGGATATAAAGCGAAAAGAAACAACCGCATTTTTCCCCTTCTGAAGGCTTTTATTGCATCACTATTGCAGACAATTGTACAAATGGCTGCGTACTCTAAATCGCATCCTCTTAAGAACTTCGATAATAGACGGGGGTTGAATGCTCGAGAGGAAGCATCC